CGGGAGTCTGAGAAGGAAAAGGTTTCAAGCTTATGTATAATGAAAATGTCCCTTGAGCTTCCTAAGTGCAGAGGCTAAAGGTCTGAGCTCATCCCATGGCAAATGAAGAAGGGACAAACTTAATTACCTAGGACACTGGGTTCTCCTCCGTTATGACTGAGGGGGGCAGGTGGGCTAGGGGAAGGAACTTGACCATGGACAGGGCACTGGCCCACCTTAGAACATACAGAGCCCTTGTGGGGTGGGGGGCAGCGCCATCACAGCCTGCATAACTCAAGGCCGATGCCCATTTCTAGCTCGGAGTGCTGGTCCCCCCTCATCTTGTGCAGACGACAAACAAAATCCTCTCCACCCAGAGGGAACGAGAAAAGCTAGTCCACTCATCAAGAGGTTTGGCTTTGTTCTTTTCAAATGATTCGATGAAGGAGCAATTTCTCCGTTCACAAAAGAGGGGGGCCAGCGAGAGTCCAGTGTATAAGGCAGCTCAGGTCCAGGCCTCACCAGATGTAAAAGCAATGCCCGGATGACCCACAACCATGCTTTCCAGACCTGTGATTCGGAAAGAGGCAGTGTCTTCTTTGTGTCTACAGAGAACCCTCCGGGCTCAGGGCTCCAGGCGCCTCGTCCACAGCAGCGAAGCCTCGTCCCTCTCGGGCAGATGGAAACGCCGAGGTGGGAGCGGGTTCAGGAAGGCCTCGCCAGGGTCCCCTGTGGCGAGAGCCCTGAGCGGGCAGTCACACCGCTCCAGGTGTTAGCCAACTTGCCTTCTTGCCTCCCGATTGTCTCTGATCATCTCGCTGGGGTTTCCAACCTGCCCCCATGCATTTGAAAACGATTGGCTTTCATTTCAAAAATAAATAGAGGACCGAGAACGTTTGAAGTGGAGTGTTTGCTTATTTGTTTGGAAAGGATATGGCCAAGTCAAACAAACAGCAAGTTCTTCTAACTCTACCTCCCCACGATTCTAGGAAGAGGCCCAAACGCAGTACGGTCACGCAGGCAGCCCAAGCTCGGCTGGGGCGGGCCTCTGATGTCCACGGTAGCCGAGGCTCTCGGCATGAAAATGCACAAGTCATTGCCAGTGGACTGGCTATCTGGGAAGGCACTGTCTCTCTGAAGGCAACGTGACACGGCAGGCCTGGGTCTGACCACGGAGAGCACTGCCTTGGAAATCAAAGCCTGGCAACCAGGCGCCTTCAAGGGGGACTCCTGAGGTCCCCTCTGTCCCTCGGGCAAATGACTTCGTCTCTGAGAGCTGCAATTCCATAGTCTGGGAAATGCTGTTAAATGCTGAAGTGAATAAGCCGGTGCCTGGGGGGCTCAGGAGGCCCTCCTTACAGTAATATGTTGAGCTCAGTGCATTTCTGTCACTCATTACTGGGTCATTCTGAGAGCGCTTGGACCCAGCCCGACCTCATTCCTGTCCCTGCATCCTCAACCTGCCCATCAGCATTCAGTGAGCAGCCCCCACACTGTTATCCCAAATTTCTCCGTAATACATCATGGTAGCGCCAGGAGGCTGTGACCAGGGGCCAGGTAGTCAGAGATATATATGCTCACAAGAACAACAGTCTCTCCGGGTGCCACGTCCCCTTGTCCAGACAAGAGACCCGGTCCCTGCTCCCTGGCTCAGCCTATCCCTCCAGTGCACACTCATGGAATCAGCATCTCTGAGGGGGCAGGACCTCGACCAACCTCCATGGCTTTGAGATCAGCTCATCTTTTGCCACGTACCCCCTCTTGGTCTGTGTATATGTAATTGGGTCTATAATTATAGGTATACACACACACACACACACACACACACACAAGAACCAACTACTATTGCATTTACAACATTATGTCTATGTCTGGGGTGTTATTCTACAGCTGGTGAAACCCAAAGCAGTAGTTTTTGCTTGTGGTTTCTGAAGAAATGTATGTGAGGCAATTTGTATAATCTGAGTGAGCACATGCGCTGGAAATGGGTTCCATCAGGCGTACAAGCTCTCTGCCTTGTGGTTATGCCATAAATATGGATAAGGAGGGCCCGCCCTCTATGAAAATCATCGGTTCCATATTACGGCATGTGGAACTGGATGAGGCCTGGGGATGTGCCGTCCATGTGGCCTGCATCACGGGGCTGCATGTGACTAGGATGCTTTTGTACCCCGGAGATGGTCTGATTGCCTTTCTCATAGGTTGCCACACTGGTACCTGTTGGATGAAGAGGGACCAAGAAGAGGCTGGCTCGGTGGGTGGAGGAGAGTTCCTTAGTCCTTTTTGCTTCGTGGTAGCAAGAAATCATTCCCTTAAAGGTGTTAACGCTTGCCTTAGCCCAGCCTGGGTTCAAACTGTAAACAATGTTTTTGCCAAGAAATAGCACAGTCACACACACACACACACACCCCCCCCACCTTGGAGCACTCATTAATCTTGTTTTCCTCTGGTTTCTCCAATTCCCTAGTCTTCGGTGCACTGCATCAGTGTTGGCAGTGACCCGGGAATTGAAAGGAAGTTCCCACATTTCTGCCCCAAACATGCCCCTCTTCACACCCTCTGCATGTTGAAGCCTTCCCTCTGTACCGCTGAGCAAAACGGGCAGCTGCCCCCCCACCTCTGATGTGCTTGGGTTCCAACACCTGCCACCTGAGTCTCGCTCTCAGGCCCGTCACTTAGCACCAGCTAGCTTGGCGCGATGCCCACTATCCAGCAGCTACAAAGATTGCTCACGGGTGGCACCCGGGGTGGACAAAGCCTCTCCCCCCACTGCCTCCTACTGCCCTCCTCACCTGGCCTCCCCCTCATGGCATCAAATCAAACTGCGGCAGACTTGACAAATCTATTTGGCACGGCTCACTCAACTATTTCAACCCGCACGGGTTGTGACGCACGATGAACAGGGTGGAATCTGCCCATTAAATACAGACATTGGGGGATCTGCTAAGGAGGGGCAACAGAGACCATCCTGCCAGTGGGGACTGGGGTGGTCTCTCCCACCCCCCACCGCCCCCGTGGTGTGTGAGGGAGAGCTAGGGGCTGAAACCTAATTGGCAGACTCTGCTTCCCTGTCTGCTCTGGGTACCCGGAGAGTGAGCGTGTCCGGTGCAGACAAAGTGGCTTTTCCCGGCTCCAGCTTCCAATATGTGGACGAGACTGCGTCCCTGAAACAATTCAAGTTACCTCTTGCCTTCTAGGGAAGGAACTGTAGCCAAGGGTGGGAGAGTAGCTGAGAGGGGTTGGGGGTGTTTGGGTGGTGGTGGTTAAGAGAGAGAGGTATTCAACATAAAGACATTGAGAAGGAGGGTTCTAAAGCAGACCACAAAGCTAGGTTCACTTCTGAGGAAAATCTTCCTGAGAAGAGGTCCGGTCCGCGGGCGGAATGACTGCAGGGGCAGAGCCAGGGAGGGCTGCAGTCTATCAAAATGTGCAGTGCTAAGGTATTTCCAAAAGCAGATTTCCTACAAATGGTGTTTAAAATAGCATCCCGGTCCATCTGCGAGCTTTTAAAAGGAGCTTAGGCTATAGTATCCCTCTGGCCGGAGCTGCTTAGTCATTGAGCTTGGAGGGGGTGCTGGTCAGGTGAACTGCCTGCTCCTCCCCAGGGACCCACTCTGACGCTGTGGCTGGCCCTCACCTGCCTGAGCAGAGCTTCAGGGTTCTAGTCGCCTCCCCTTGAAACGGCGTGTGGTGCGTGTAGAATAGGGCTGAGGGCTCAGCGCTCCCGGCACCCTCTGCACTCCCCACCGGAGTTTGGCAATTCCTCCTGAAACCAGCACGTCAATGTGGGGAAGCTCCTGATTACCAAGCATTTCTCTCTTTGTTTCTTTCTTTTTTTGAGACCTGGTAATCTCTAGAAGCCATACTGCTCAGGCGAATGGTGCCATGTTACTATGGTAATCTTACATTAAAAATAATAACAAACCTGACACTTCAAAACTCCTGTCTCCCTGGTGAAAGAGCAGCAGCATTAACAGTCAGGGGTTTCTGGGCCAGGAGTGTCCAGCTGCACTGAGAACATGCTGGTTTGGGGCAGGAGCTGAGGGGACTCCCTTTGGGAAGGCGCTGGGGCACCCTTACACTTGGCCCCTGGCTCCCTTTTGGACGATTCCCAACAAGGCAGACCCCAATCCTGGTAGCGCTGTGCCACGTCGTAAGAGGAGAAACCCATTCTCTACCTGGTCACTTCCCTTGCCAGAAGGATGGAAGGTATCTGGTCATTCCCACACATCAGTCAGCCCACCAACTGCCCCTCTTGCAGGGCCACCCTGACACACCCTCAGGTGAGCCCACCTGCTGCTTCCACTAAGCCCCCCATGGACTTAGGGGGGTGGCGCCTGCACAAGCAGCTCACTGCCAGAAGGCCATGCTTCTTCAGAGCCCCGAGCCCCACCCACTCATCCATCCATATGTACAACAAAAGCCTGAGTCGCCCACCCAGGGCCCACCTCCGGGCACCACCGCCAACCCTGAAGGCACCAGCCGGGCGCACTTGGGGCCTCGCTGCCAAGCGTGATTGCCAGCTCAGATCCTGTCTCCTGGCCACACCGAAGCTCATCTCATTATTTATGGTCCTCTTTCTTCTCGGGGGCATTGTGATTCCCTCTCAGGATTTGTGCCCTTTCATTTCTAGACCCCGGTAACTCCTGAACTGCAGCTTCATGCGGTTTTGCGATTGTTTGCCCAGCATGAGAAGGGACTCAGGCCATAAATGCTCAATGACTCCGGTGTGGGGAGACCCGGGCTGGGAAAGCATTTTCTCCTTCATTGGCAGTCAGAGAGTGCACTGCAAGCTCTCCCTCACTGCTGTGCAGCGGGGATGGCAGCCAGGCTGCCGGAGAAACAGCGTTTTCCAATCATTTAGCATAAGAAAGAATATTTGCAGGGCAAGCATCTCCCTTGCCTCATCAATTATTTGAGCCAAGCTTAGCAAGGCCTTCTCCCACCAACCCACGTGGAGCTGAGTTGAAGCTCCTCCGGCTCTACCTGTTCGGCACGCCCTGAGGAGGGCACGGATTTACCTTGTGGTTTTTGCCATGCCGGTACATCATCCAGTCTTCTCCGTTGGTACTGACTTCCAGCTTGTAGGACTTGACGTAGTACCCATTCTGGGTCTCCCTGGAAATTGCCCCCTGTGTGGCGATGGCCGTGACCAGGGTCAGAAAGCGCAGGTCCACCTGGGGGAGAAAGGTGGGTGAGTAAGGGGCCCACCGGTCCCAACACGGGGCAGCATCCGGACTTTCATTCAAGGACACAGCTCGCCACTTGTGACCGCGATCCCCTCATAATGTACTTGTACTTGGTGTCAGCGTGTTGCTCTGATGCCTTCAAATCACAGGCAGGTGGGTGGTCCACTTATTTGCGTCTAACTCGAACACCTTGAGCACGCACTTTGAGTCTTTGTTCAAACTTGAACCGACCGTATGACGTGTGTCTTTGAGAAACCTCGGACCATCTAGAACTACGCGCTCTCTCCCCACGACATGGAGACCTGCCCTGGGTGGGGAAAGCACTTGCTGCTTTCAAGTAACCATGACTGGATCCACCCCACTCCACTCCGGGCCGATTCAAGCCAATTCACTTAGGACACTCCAGTTGCAAGAGCTGCAGCTCACGGCTCCCGCCCCCCTCCTCTGCCCCCTCAACGCCATTGTATTTTTAGTTGTTCGGGTCATGAAGGGGTCAGAGGGCCTTCAGAGTCTGTCCAAGCAATTAGGCTTATGCACCAAGTCCTGACCTTGTGCTCTATGGCCCCGCCCCCCTCTCCCACCACAACACTAAACCCATTTTGAAATTGCCAGTTGTCATCCCTATGCCGAAGCGCTCCTTACGTGTTGACCAAAATTTAGCCGAGTCCAACATCAACTTCGGCAGGCACCTGTGGGATGGCTACTAGTTGGCTCAGCAGTCTCGAGCATTCAGAGAAGCGCGTGACGTCAAGCGGCCTATTTGTGTGACTTCACAGGTGGAGGTGAAGTCACACAAAAGACAGGACGTGATGAAGGTCCAGGAAGAAGGAACCCAATCCGTGGAATGTGTCGGAGAGCTCCTTACTCCTGATTATGCGGGAGAACTTTCTGGAGGCTTTGCAGGTTGAGAAGGATTTGGGGGAGATAGGCAAATCAGGACTCCCAGAGGCTGGTCAGCAGCCTTTCTGCCCTGCCTGTTGTCTTCCCTGTGATGGCCACCTTAAAGCAGAGGTCACTGTGTTGCATCAGAGCCAGGACAGGCTTGTCAGTGGCTCACAAGGCTGACCACCGTGTGTCAGAGAGCAGTAGCTGCTGTAGTCTGGCACCAGCGGCTTGTTCTTGCCTTGCTTACTTCTTCCCAGGGGATGCGAACCGGACCCAGCGGTCAGGCAAGGGGAGATGACCCATCACACATGGCAAGCCTTATCCAGAAGGAAAGCAAACGTGAGTCCGCCAGGCAGCTGTGGCCTGGCGTTCCTTACTGGTGGAGATGCATTCTCCCGGGCTGCTCGGCCAGCTGTGTACAGAATGCCTCTTCCCAGTCAGGTTCTCCCCAAATAGCCAAGACCAAGAGGTGCTTCATGCTCACGCTCACACTTCAATAAGCCTGCTCTGAGGAAGATGCCAGACACCCCACCCCTGGCCAATCTCTGATGCCATGAGTGAGGAAGGAAGATCTGGATCTATAGCGAATGGTTTGGGGCCTTCCGTCATGATCACAAACAGCATCTCCTGCCTCCTGGCCAAACGGCTCCTCTAAGGCCTGGTCCTCTCTGCACAGGCGGATGGAGATGCTCGCCATTTCATCCAAGCATGTAGGACACGGCCTTTCTATCGAGTACACACTTTTTTTCTTTTTGAAGTGAATGAACCAATGATATTGTTTGCTTTCTTGGTACCCTTCCACCACTCTAGCTGAGAAACCACGCCCCTGCCTGATCAACACACACACACACACACACACACACACACACACACACACAC